CCGGTCCCGGCCTAAATCTCGGGCCCCGAGATGGGGGGGTGGGAGGAAGGCAGGCTCGACAGACTCGCCTGGGTTTCCGAATAATTTGAATTCTTCGTATTTGATTGAGCAGCGGTCTGTTTGGTGTGCAGGTTTGTAAGGGTCTTTGAAAGACAAAAGAATTCCGTTTGTAAACATAATACGAAGTGTGAAGTACACTACAGATAGTCATGAGCACCCAGGACGTACTGAACGCCCCTGCACGTTGGAGGTAACCTTAGCAAGAACTTCTTCATCTTTGTTTTATTAACACGAAAGTCTTTCTTTATTTTCCATGAACGTTGTTGATATCCGGACTATCGTATTTATCGTCTCGCGCACCCTCTCCCACATATCCTCATTAAGACTGAACTGCACTCAAATAGCATGTCCTATCACTGTTTATGAATTACTGCGCCTGGAAAATCCTGAAGAAAACCAAAACCCAGCGGATATCTTTGAGATGAAGCCGGTCTCCTCCTGACCCAGCCGCGGTGTCCGCAGGCAGCGGCCCGCCGCTGGGCCCTGCGGGGGGATGCGGTCACCCAGCGACCCAGCGGGTGCATTAAACGGGAAGGCATTTTTTTTCCTTTGCGTCCTTCCAAATGAAGCAGCTAGTTTCATTTAGATGGAAACTGTTGTCAGTTGCTTGCTGTCCCGTTTTGATCCTTCCTCAGCTTGAACGAAATGCCTTGAAACCTATTCCAAAAAGATGCTCATACAGGCTTCCAGATGCTAAGATTTAGATCATTTGAACGTCAGCGCAGCCTTCTGGTAACAAGAAACATCCAAATGGATTTCGTTTGTGTATTAACATGCGTCAGATGGGAGAGTAGCACAGTTTCGGGCTAAAGTCTGTTTCCACCGTTTTAGCAACTGGGTCCAAGTGAATGCCTCGTCTGGCAAGTCAATAGGTTGGAGCTACATTAAGCCGAATGAGTCCAAATATCTGAAACGGCTTGAAAGAGCGGTGCTAACAAATAGTAATTTAATGTTTGAGACTATTACTGGTGTTTATATTGCTTCGCGTGTGCATGCAGATAGACGGGGCGGGGGGTCATTGCATGGAAAGACAGAAATAAACGCGTTCAGCGACCTGTATACCCCAAAGCTGCAGACTAAACTCAGCTCAGAGCAAGGGCACGGAGAGGAAATCTCGGCCCTGTGCGCAGAGAACCAAATATTGATCCCTGTCGCCTAAGGACCCGCCAGCAGCGCTTCCCCGTTGGCGTGCAGGGATGCTCGTTTCCTGGCTAGCTGATCAGGTGGGAAATTTGTAATGCAAGGTCCAGTCATGCTTCCGCCGCAGCAGTAATAATGAAATAAAGCCCAACGTTAGCTAGATACGACGCAGCAGGTGGCTTGTCATAAGCCTCCCGTGTTCCTCTGCCTCCTGCTCCCACTAGAGCGTGGGTAATTGGGAAAACAACATTTTAGACGCGTGGCAGGCTAAGG